ATATTCCTTTCCCTTATGTAACACATTTAACATTTTTTACCCCAGCTATATTCAAATGCTTATTAACACTTTGATTTTTCAGTGGCAACCTCTAAGAATTCTGCAGTGTCTGGGTAGGATAGTTACAACACAGCAATACATAAACTACAGTAAGTTACTGAATAACTTACTGAATATCAATATGTTTATACTAAAATTAGAGCATGCACTTTATGTACAGTTTTGATTATCTATAATGTTTATTATCACCCTAGGAGTCAACAGGTCTGTACAAGCAAAGCTAAAGCCTCTCTAGCTTCATTGGAGACTCTGAACAAGTGTAATGAATTTCAATATCAAGGCTGAAGTCTGAGGCCCTTCACTGGCCTGCTGAGAAGATGAGAGATGTTAAACGCAATTGACCATTTAATAGTGGAAGTAACTATAAACAAATTCAAATGAAAATAAGGACAACATCAGCACCAAAATAAAAGACGGCACAATGTTGAAGAATATAGGGTTTTATCAATTTTAATTCTAAACTAAGCAACAGCATTAGGACTTCAGAACAAACATATTATAAATGTCAGTCTGAGCCTTTATTAAAACTATAAAGACCTTTCAAGCCAATGGACTTTTGATTCATAATATAAAGAATACACTCCCTAACACATAGGAAGATGTCATTTTTAATATAATGTATATTACAGAAAGCAATGGTAGTTTATAACTAAGATTGCTTCATACCTTTTGTTTATGACCTGTGTACAGTTGCTTATAAATTTACCAAACTTTTACTTTCCATGCCTCAGGCTGATTTTTTTGTTTGTTTTCGTAAAAATCCCTCCCCAAAAGTTCAGTTGTTTCAGAGATGAATGTGGAGGAAAATATGCTATTTTGATCATGTTAAAAACCCATAATGACTGTTTTATTGAGGTTCTCTAACATCTCCATACTCTGGCACTCCAACCTGTACCACAGGTGCCACAAGGGGTGATAAGCAACAGATTGGGAAGGAGACAGACAACCCGGTGACAGATAGGACAGGGAGCAGAAAGCAGATCATCAGGCAGGGACCACAGAGCAGTAAGCAGAGCAGTAGTTTGGTTGTGGAATACAGGGCAGGGACCCAAAAGCTGAGCTGAAGACTGAGCAAGGGAAAGGAATCTGAGTGGTACTCATGAGGGTGCAGGGCTAATCTGTGGCACACCTGCCAAAAATGTTCATCTAAGATTTAATGTGCACTGAGAATGATTGACTTCCCATGCACCCCAGGTCATATATGCTGAACAGGAATGCAAAGGAGTGAGGCTCTTTGACATGCATGTTTAAAGACTTGGACAGAAGTCAATTAGATGAAAACGTGGGACAGAGACAGGTTGGTAACAGAGGTAGAGTCTCTGAAACCTACCTCTCCAGGTCACATCCTCTAGAACTTGGACTGGAACCACATTCCACTCCTGAGAGGGAAGAAGAATGGCTCAGTGGCATCTGGGAGACTCAAGTTCAAGCCCCATACAGTCTAACCTTGAACACGTTGCTTAATCTCCCTCTGTGAAACCCTTAGAGGAAATGTGTTCATTGTGAGGTCCATGAGATTTCTTGTGATTCTTCTAACACTGTTGATATCAGCATCAAACTGATATGACAGAGATGAAATGAATTCTGCTCCTGTCACCAGTGAAACCTACTAGCAAAATGAGTTTCCTCCTCATGTAATGGCTAGTCCACACTGAAGATGACATTGGGCAATGTACTTATCTGCTGCATGTTACACCATCACACATAACTCATATGGGGATCAGTAGAGGCACACACAAGGGAATTTGGGATTTTTGGCTTTTTTTTAAATCTAGGAAATTATAATTTTAAAAAAGTTACAGTAAGAGGTCATTAAGGTTCCAAAGTCAAACACTCCTTAGAAAGACTGGAACTAAGGTCTCGCTAAAGGGCTTCTTTGAAAAGTATCTGACAACTATCCAGCAGTCCGTTATGTGTGTGAGTACCTTTAGTATCCTTGAAATAAGTAATTTTGTGGGAGTACTTGCTTACATGTGTGGAGTTACCCACATGCAAGTGTTTGCATGATTGAACTAATCCTCAGTGAGGATCTAGTCAGGGAATTTCTGGAGGGACTGG